GTGTACAAAGGCTGCGTGACGAGCCAGCTGACGGCTATGTCTGAAGCCAGTTACGTCCGTGAAGTTGTGTTGTCGTGTAGCTTTGCCTGCGCGATGAGTACTCTGCTGTCAGTAGCCAATCAAATTAAGCGGGATTATCGATTGACTTGGAGCTTATACGCTTATCAAGCAGCGAGTTGATTGATAGCGTGAGAGGCCAATAGCACGCAGAGTGGATAATTACACGTGAGAGAAAGGCTTAGCAGAGCGAAGGCAGGATGATTTACGCGCATTTGCGCCGGGCGGCAGACTCCTACACTGGGTCCCATTTTTGCAGGGCGTGGAGTTTTGTTACTGTATATATCCCACAGGCTATTCCAGGTTTGTGGGATAAGCAGCCACACAGAAACACGCAGCTGTAACGACTGGTTCCGACACTCAATCAGTCTTCTCCCTTACCCACATATAGACACTTTAAATTCTAACATTCGCCTCCAGCTCTAATACTTTCACAAATAATTTGAATGATTATACGACACGGCGACTGATAAGGCTTCAGCCGCAACTGCCGCCGCCGCCGCACGACACATCCCTGTTGCATCTAGACACGGCAAAATTATCAATGGTAGTGGATTCCTTTTACATAACACTTAAATGCCTACTAAATGCATTTCAGTAGCGGAGGGAACTGTTACAAAAGCCAACCACAAGCGGCCCCAACGCAGTCGCTCACCGCTATGAGTCAGGACTTAATGGAAGCTTTGCCGACCGGAGCGGACTGTGAAAGCGGATCCGGTGACGAAAATCCACGGCGTCCGTGGTCACGGTAACCTGCAGATGTGTCAGTAACGCCTGACTTAACCTGAGCTGCCCCCTGTCCGGAGCTGCACGGAATCACGACTGTGCTGACCAATTAGACGTCCGACACTGATAATCATTTCGTCGTGCTGCCACCGACGTGCACTGTTGTTCGCACGCGCGCTCCTGAGCACACGCCTTGCCCCGAGCAAACTTCAAGCAATT